CTATTCCTATTCCTATTCTAATAGGATTGTATAAACCTATTCCTATTCTAATAAGATTGTATAAACCTATTCTTATTCTAACACTCCCCCTCAAGCTAGTGCATACAATTCATGTACCTAGCTTGTTACATATGTAATTAATACGAGGACCAATGAGGGGCTTGGTGAGATATCTACAAGTTGAACAGTCGACTTCACAAAATTGATAGTCAATCTCAATGTGCTTGTCTTCTCATTAAGATTTTGATGCATAATATCAGTTGTGAGAAATATGGGAAAAGAATAGTATTGAATTGTTGTTGTTTCTACATTATTACATTGAGACCCTATTTATAGACCCTAGAATACAATCCTTTACCAAGTAGGATACTATTTAGTATTCCTATTCCTATTCCTATTCTAATAGGATTGTATAAACCTATTCCTATTCTAATAGGATTGTATAAATCTATTCCTATTCCAATAGGATTGTATAAACTTATTCCTATTCTAACATCAGTCAATCTCAATGTGCTTAATCTTTTCTCATGAAATACTGAATTTGATTCATAATGTTGATAAAACACAGAGTTATAAAGTTACAGTGTTGGAATTCCCAAACAAAACTTGCAAAGACTGTTTCAAACCATAGAGTGACTCACATAATTGACATACAAGGCTACTAAACTCCCCCTGAGCAACAAAGTGCTCAAAATCTAGTATAAAGTATATGGATCATGTTGGAATCAATAGATGAGTCGATATCAAACAAGTCACCGAAAAACTGGCCGGAACATGCTCATATGCCAGAGTATTAGATTTGATGGTTAAAAATGGTCACAATCTAAGAAATAAAATTATATGAGTAGGGTCAGAATGATGTCACGACCCAACTAGAAAATAGAAATTATATAGGAAAGGTTGGATTGATGGCACAACCCTATTGAAAAAGAGAAATAATATGGGTAGGGTCGGAATGATGGCACGACCATACTGGAAAAGAAAAATTATACGGGTAGGGTTGGAATGATGGCACAACCCTACGCAAATCAGATTTGAGAAGTCACCGGAAAGACGAATGGAACTATGCAAATCAAATCTGAGGAGTCACTGAAAAAGACACATGATGCTACGCAACTCAGATATGAGAAAATAGTTCGAAAAAAATCCACGGTACTAC